CAAAATAAATTATGAGCAATAAAAATCAACTGCATTTGGAGAAAACAACCAAACCTGCATCAAAACTGCAACTAAACCCGTCATGAATAAAAGTTCAATTGATACAAATGTTCATTTCATTCGCGAGAAAGTTGAGGACAAAACAATCTTCACAGGCGCGACGGCAGCAAATTTTAAACAAAAAAATTTCCATTTACAGGAGTTGAACAACTTCGCTCGAATCCTGTGGGTTATTCCAATACTCAGATTTTTGCTGAGAGACCCGGGAAAATCCCAGTGTGGTATTACAAAATTGAAGAAAATTAGAACAGCAAATCCAAAACTTGAGAGCTATATGCTAATAAAAAAAAACAACCTGCCAATTACGGCCAAAACATTTTTTTTGCAAATGATGATTTTCAAAGAGAACAATTTTAAAATTATTTTTGATGTAAGCATCATGTAACTTCAATCATGACTTCACGGAAAACATTCAAACCTTATGATATGCAGTGAGTTAACCTTTAAGAAGCGTGGAATAAAAAAGGGAGCTTTTATGGAAACTGGAGTTTAGAATGACTTGTATCACGCCATTTTGTTTGTTTGCGGGACTATAGATACCCCCAATTTTGATTTAAAAAATTTTTTTTTCTCATATTTAATATTTTCGTTTTTTCATATTTACTTTTTTCAAATTTTTGTATACAATTAAAACTTCAGACACTTTTTGATATGAGCTGGCCAAATTTAGACATTATCACAATGTTTTAATCACAAACTATTCGAGACCATTTCAAGGCAGTCTCTGTCATGATTGATATACAAGCAGTTCAGTTTAAATTTAGTTCAGAATGAAAACATTGAAAAGTTTTTGTCTCATATATTTTTCAAAAATGTGAGGCTCAGAAAATATTCAATTGCCACCCTCTCGGTTTAAGACTAGAATTTATGCAATGAAATGTTCAGTTTTTGTTCCGATCATTTGTTTTTTTTTCTACGCAAACTCATGTAACACAAATAATTATCGAATAGGGCTGAGTGATCTATGATAATAAAGCCCTTTCAGTCAGGAGTGGAACCACTTTTCCAAAAAATTTTCCAATGTCCGAGAAAAACAGGTTTGAAGTTTTTGATTTTTTGTCTTAACTCGAGCGAATAAAGCAAACGAGCAGGCTTACAAGCTAAATTATGCCTAATTTAAGAACTTAAAACTTAATTCTAAGCAAGTAATGTTAATTTTTGGAGTTTTACAGCTTCATTTTGGGAACTAAAAACTTCAAAAATTCAAAAATTTTCTGCAAAAAATCTTCGAAAGTCTAGTCATTTTTTGGCAACCATTTTTGTCCAATTTGCCTACGTTATTATATCTGTCTAATATGCCCTAATTATAGTTTTACGTCAGATCCTTTTATCACACCAAGCAGAAAAAACTACACTAATTTGAAAAAAAAAATTCTACACCGTGTTTTTCTAAAGACTATGGTCAGAACATTCTTGCTAACTGGCTATCCTTGTTAATAGATGTCAAGAGTTGGGAGGCCATTGCGAAACGTGAATCCCGTAAAACTTTATGTCATTTTAATCATTTGGCATGAAGTTTTTCAAGTCTTCAATTTACCAGATGCTCAAATTATATTCACATGAACAGATGCGTAATTCAGCTTCTCTTCTTTTGAAAGTTTAACGTTTTACTCTTTGTTGTTTTAAAGGAATTGAAAGGATTCTAGTTTTGATTTTTGGAATTCAACAAACACTGTTAACTTTGTTTGGCTGTTTTTGTAGTACGATATGCAACTAAAAGGGATTCTTTTTGTTCTATCAGTCGACCCTATCTGACATCTTGCTCACCGTTACTAATTTTTCGAGTAAAAGTTTAGTCATCTCAAGATCTTAAGATTATCAGCAACAAAAATAGAAATTTTTGAGAGTTTTAAAAGCGTTTTCACTTTTTATTCGAGCTCAAAATTGGTAAAAAATTTTTGTTTTTGATGATTTTTTTTCACATCGTTTAAAAATAATCAATGAATCTCAAAACATATCTTACGGTTACCGGTTATGACACGAGTTGCGATAAAAGAAACGTTTTCTAGAGTATCTCTTATCATCTCTCAAACTATCAAATCATTATTAAAATCGAAACTTTCTTACGCAAATTCGAAGCTGCATTGGCAAACACAAGCGAAAAATGGCAAATAAGATCTTTCAAATTGCAAGAAAGTGCAAAAAATAAAATAACTGAAAATATTCTCAAATTTCCGCTTTTCACTTGTTTGCTTTGTCTTGTTACTTGGAAGATCCTACTTGCCAGTTTTTGTTTAGGCATTTGAGCACCAAAAATATTTACCAACTCCGGGAATCGAACCTCCGTCATCGTCGACATAATCATCCGAAAACTAAATGCATTTTTATCGCACAAAAATCTTTGTTTCTTACACTTCAACCGTTTTAATTGAGCTTTTTGTCTTAAAAAGTTAAATAAAAAGTGCGCTTTTCTATAACTTCTGCTCACGAAATTTTTTTACAATAAGGATGTCTGTTTGAACGACAATAGAAATCCGAAGTGCAGAAGCGCCACGGCAAAAAGAGGTCGCGAAGTCACCCGCCAGATGATAGTGGTCGCTACATTCTTCGCCGTGTTGCATCTTATTACAACTATCTTCAACCGATCCCAGTTTGTACGTGACGTGCGCAACTTCAAAGACGAAGCAACATACGACTTCATTGAGCAGGTTATCATCATATGCAACGCACTCGTCAACTCAGTCAACTTCTACTTCTACTTAGCATTTGGGAAAAAATTTCGCAGCAATTTCAAATCCTTAATCATGTGCAAGAAGCAAACGGCGGATAAAAACTGCGAATTTCATCAATAAATTCAAAAACGATGCAGTGTGTTAAGTCAACGACGTACGGAGTATAATCGCGTTATAAGTAATCTTCAATTAGGTCAATCAATTCAATTAAATCACAATATATGCATGCTTAATTACTGCATAAAGTTTTGCATGTTTTTAACTAAAATGCATGTTTTTAACTAAAATCAATTTAATTTAACTAATTTAAGTCACACGTGTTTTGCATTTATGAATAGTCATTATAATCAATTAATTTCTATAATTTATTTGCCAAACTTTTCATTAACAGTTTTAAAGTCTGGCTCGAAAGTTTTCCAGCTGTTTCCAACGACGGTTTTTCAAGTTGGTTGGGGGTCTCAATGGAATAAAAATCAAAATAGAGGAGCTCCAATTGTTTTTGACTGGTTTGGTTTGGCCAAAATTAGGTATCTAGACCAACCTTATGCATGTCTTGACATTATGCATATCTTCCGAAGAAAAAGTTTGTTCGACTAAGTTTCAGATTAGTTCGCAGTCTGTTGACTCGAACTCGGGTATGTTTCTCACGTCGGGCTCCGATTCGCTTCAATTCATACATGTGTATCATTTTTGCACTTATTTTCAGCCGAGACAGGCGGGGCTTGAGGGTACAACATTTGAGCTTCAAAAAGAGGACTCACTCATGCATAAAAACAATCAGCAGTCCAGACTTAAGTTGACCTTTGTATCTAAACATAAAGTTGTCTTTACAAACCCAAAAAACCATCTCACAGACAATTAAGTTTCCGAGCCAATTTCAAACGTCCTTGCTGATTTGGCGTAGATAAATTTATTTGTTTTTGATTCATAAACGTCAGTATATTTCCTCAAGGCTGATTGTTTACTTAGTTTCTTTTTTCTTCAGGCACAGGTTCTCCGCCAATTTCAATACAAACTCGTTTATTGGGCCTCGGCGATTAGAAGTGATCGCCCTGTGGAGTTGAAACCGGCAATGGCCCGAAGACTTGTCAGGACCTGTAGACTAAACAACACTAATGACCAGCTTTCCAATTTGTCGTTCACAGGTTAAAATTAAAGGCATGGTCGCCTTGTTGTGATGCTGGTATAGTAGCATGTTATAAAACTCTGAACAATAAAATGTGGTCGGATCAAAAGAGGAAACCAAACCCTAAATTTGAATTATTCTGGTACTAATTTTTGTTTAGATATCTTCAAAAAATTAGAAGTTTACTCGTTAAGTGTCATCAAGTGGCTCTTAACAGATCATTGGGATCTAAACAACTTGAAGGTGATTTTTTTGATCTTGCTTTATTTTCCAAATCTGCCGTAGAATTATCACATAAAAATGTTTGTTTGTTTCTAGCCATAACACCAAGGTCCGAAAGTCATTAGCTGGATCGTAGTATAAATCTTGTAAGACTGAGTACAATGGCTGAACAGTTATAGGGCTAAAACCCGTTCACACATAGATGTTATTTGTGTCAAAGGCTATTCTCGGAACCCCAGCATACTAGTGGAATATAAAAGCTTCAAGTGGGGACCAAAGGTTGAAAATTGAGCATAAACTTCATAATTAGTGTAATAAGTAGAACGAAGGGTCAAAAAATCAGATAGAGTTAGATAAGGCGGTGGTCCAGATGAGATAGAGAAGGCGGGGGGGGGGGTTGCTGATGGGATGGGGGTTTAAGTCTTAGTTGGTGTGACCTAGTGTGACAATAAGTTTTATGGGGGCTATTTGGCACTGGGGTGCTGAATGATTTACAGTTTTCAGACTAATTTGGAAGGAGGAAAGGAAACTAGTTAGTTAGTTGAGACTGCAAATGAAAAGTAGTCTTGGCGTTGTTCTGCTTTTTCGTGTTTTATTGCGGCCGGTCATTTTATGGCCGTTAAGCTAGTTGAACCGAGAGCAATTTAGGGTCTCTTGGCTGGCATTGTTTCCCATTTAAATATTATCCTCGCCCAAAATATCAATTTCCAAATACTTTTATTCTTCTTCCTTCCTGGTCCGTGTATCAGTCCGAAATTACACAAATAATGGCCGCTGAAATAGCCCATTAAAGTTCCAGTCCCTTCTGGGAATTGAAGTCGCCATCAGCAGCCGCCCCCCACACCCCTCCCTCCCCTTCTCACTCACACACTCACTCACTCGCTGTCTCTGATTTGTCTTGATTGTCCACCACACCACAACTGTAAAACCAGATTCCAATTGTTAAAACTCTTCTGCCGTCGAAACATTAAACGACCAGTTTACAGGCATCAGGTCAGTCAAAATTAAAAGTTTCGTTTGTTGGTTTTTGGAGGCATTTCACTTTTAGAGGTTGTTGCGTTGAGGTCTCATCCTTGTCTTATTTCGGGAGCGACCATAATAACCGGGTTAACTCCATTTACAAAAAATGCTGATAGTACAATATAAAAACATTTATCATACAATTAAATACTTCCACAATTTCCATATTGACTAAGAACGTTGGTGCGAATCCAAACTTGAAAATTTTAATGTTCTTATACTGTAAGATACGTTTCAATTTGTTCAAAAAATCAGGCTACGATTTTCGACTAGTAAAAATTTGGGTTGAACAATTGGATCTTGTTCTTGTTAACTATTCCCCCCCACAATAGTTCACAATTTGCAATGGGGGGGGGGGGGGGGTAGTTAACAAGGTACAAAATTCATACATGTTTAACTGTTCAATTCTTTCTTTATAGGGGGGAGAGAGATTCGTTACAATGTACCATAGGGGGGGGGGGTAGTTAACAAGATCCAAACAATTTTTTAGCCATATACAAAAATTCGAGGCTTTTACTCATAGTTCTGAGTGAGCTTTGAATCATTGTCTCAAATGTTATTACTCAATTGACGAGTATTTGCTAGTTTCCTCCCTTCAACCAAGGGGGTTTCTTGTGCTAGAAAATGCCTTTTGTGTTTTTGGACAAACACAAAAATACTTAGCAAAATTTTTGATTAATTGATAAATGCGTTTCATGGATTTTCATTTTAAAAAATGCCTATCGTAGTAAAGTTTTCTTACCATTTTCTGTACGCATTGAATTGTACAAAATTGTATGACAAGCATTTTTCCATATACGAAAATTGTATGACAAGCATCTTTGGTCAACACGGGAAGATGTCAGTTTTGGAAGTGAAACATCGTTTTGTGCGATGACTCATCGAATTTTGAAAAAACGCCGCAATCGGTTTATTAGAAATAATATATTCGTCTTAAAAATTCGGCCGCTGAAGAACCAGGGTTTCTATAATAGAAATCCTGATTCTTCAACGGCCGGATTTTTATGACGAATATATTATTTCTAATAAACCAAATGAAAGAATGTTTTCATGGACGTATGTTTTTTTAACCGAATGATTTAATGTTTTCATGAACGAACGCATTTGAACGAATGTTTTCCAAAAGTTGCTTCCCAGGCTCCGAGATGAGACAGAACGCCTTTATCCCCCCCCCCCCCCCCAAAAAAAAACTATGCTCCGCTAGAAATTGAAAATGAGTTTTGGTTGAGTTCGGATGTGCGCTCGGAAAAATTGCACAATTAGTTGGATCCGAAATTAGAAGGAATTAACTATTAGCCCTCTATACTTTTTCGAACAACTTATCACAATTGATCATTAGCACAAGTATCGAGCGAGAGCTTTCGAAGTATAAACAGTATTGAGTGACAATATCGAGATCTTAATTGGTTTTAAATTGAATGAGAAGAGCAGCTTCGCGAGTTGATTAATTCTTTGGGAATCCAAAAGTCGCTTCCCAGACTCCGAGATGAGACGAAACGCCTTTATTTCCCCTCCCAAGACTATGCTCTGTTTGAGAACCTCTTGAGAAATTTAAGTACTATTTAAGTACAATTGTATCTTAAAGTCAGGGAATCAAATAGCAGACAGTTATCGAATCAGGCTGGGAACTTATCTATTTACTTAATTGGACAATTTGAAATCTTTCTGAATAAGAGATCAGTGAACCCTTAAGTCCATTCAGAACTCACTTCGGACGAATGGATTTGAACTTAACTTGTGTCTCTTTATTGAGGTCGATCAGGTCTGAATTTATAATATCGAGGACAAATAGTCATTACAGTTCGGTAGCATTTAATAACGGGGATTATTTCTATAGTCACGCGACACCTCGTACTAAGTTTTCTCATTGGATAAAATTTATTCCAGGATATTTTTGTTTGTCATAGAAAATCTGAAGTAAGAAAGTAAATAATCGAAGTTCATCAAGGCCGTGACTGCTAGGTGGGTCGTATAACTTGATCGAAACCCTGCGAGCTGAAGCTTTAGACTTGCGGCACGAGCACTGTTTAAGTGCGCTTTTAGTTATCCCAAAGTTTCGCCACTTCCTGGATGAATGGGAGCAAGCTTTGTGTTTGGGTTTTTTTCATACTTTGGGTTCATTTTATTATTTTATTTTTCAAATGGCCCTTTCAGGTATAACACGCCGGATAATTCTGTGTGCTGCTAAGTGAAATCATGAAATGAAAAATTTGTTTCGACTGGCTAGTTTGTTTCATCCGACTACTGTAAATTGGGTAACATTTTCCCAGCAAAACTTTGACACTCAATTAAGCCTACCAAAATAGTAATCACAAAAAATAGTTGTCGGACAGTTCCATTGTGGGAGTTGATTATATAAATTTATAAGCCACGCCAATATTTTTACTGCCTGAGAGAGCTCCATCGGACCTACAGGTCCGTTCACAGTTGTCTCAGTGAGTGATCTCCCGATACTCAAACGCGATCTCGCCAACTATTTATTTGGTTGTCCAGGTTGACGAAAATAAAGTATTTTATCATTGCTCAACTTTCTCAGATGAGTTAGACCTTGAGGTTTTCCATGGCACTCCCAGAATTTGTGAGCCTTCAATCCTTAACTATACACGTCCTACAAATGATTATGAATAGCTCAACAATCTGGGACGCGCATCATTGACCTGTTTAAAATCCACGCATAGTTTTAAATTCTGTAGGACTTAGAATTGTGGAAAGCAACGATGTGACTGCGGGTGTAAAAGAATTGATGTTTTGATTTAATTTTATTTGAGTGTGTTTAAATTTTAAAAAACTCCGATACTGATTGTTTTGTTTCAGAGATAAATGATTGATGAAAAGTTTGCCAAGCACTATTAGCGGAGCAACTATCTACTCTTCGTTTACTCTATTTTGTCATGTTTTGATTTTTCAAAAAATCCCAGTTTTCCTATAAAATTCAAACTATAGGTTGCCGGGCTTAAAAATGTGTGCAAAAAATGCAGACGAATTTGTTGTTCACTTTTCCGATCAATTAGCATATTTTAATCATAAATGAACCAGAGTACTAAGGAGAGTTTACCTGACTCTCTGGTACATGTTGAAGGCCAATTGAAGTTTCATTCTCTAGATCAGTGTATATTTAAGATCAAACAAACTAGACTGGGACCTACTTAACAATCCCCCCATTCTATCTCCTTAAGATTCTCCACCTCTATGAAGAAGCACTGTAAATTAGCGCTAGAGCTTTGTAGTGAGAATTATAATTTTGCTGCATTCTGATTGATCGAAAATTCGACTAAATTAATCAACTTAACAATCTCCCCCCTTTTTGAAAATCTCCCCCCTATCCCAAGACTGCACGTATCAGGGCAAAGTCCTGAAGATTCCGATTGCCTTTCAAGATTTATGATGCAGTAATAACGTGAAAAAATAAAATGTAATACAACAAAAAAAAATTAAATTGAGATTTCCCGTTGTGAATCCCCCCAAGCGCCATATAAAACACAAAGCGATAGATTTTGCACCTAGTAACAAATCAATTATGACAAATAAGTTTCCTTCAACCAATTTGGAACGATTCCTAAGACGGATTGAATCACCGCTTGCGCGTTAATAGTGCGAAATTTATCGCGCTTTAATTGTCCCAAATTGGTCAAAATGGAAATCTTCAAACCCCCATAATTTTACAAAAATTGATCACAGGTAAAATATCTTTTCAAATTTAAGCTCAGGACAACAATACCTTTTGAATGATATTTATAGAATTCCGAGATAAAAAAAGTCTGAAAAAAAACCACCCCGAGCACAAATACTCCATTACTTTTGTTACGAATTTCGGAAAAATAAGAACATTACTATTCATGTAAATACTCAATACTTTTTGTCTATGACTCATCGCAAACGAATAACGAAAAAACTTGAAAAACCTTGTGCCACAAACAGCGCTTTCGAGGAAAATGTGGATGGTTAGATGAGCGTATCCCTTTACCACCAGGAAGACCCTCTGTCATTATTGGACCAACCAGGGGCGGATTAAGAAGAGGGCGGACACCCTTTTTTCATGGATTCGACCTCCTATCGACCCAAAGGGTCCCACCTTTAGTACTTTAAAGAAATCCATTTTTGGCCGACCGACCCTAAAATTTTTCTAAAAGCACTTTTGGCGCCAATATATACTAATTTTGAGGGGGAGCGCGCGCCAAAAAACGCGATTTTTTGTCAAAATTTTCCAAAAAGTACCTAAAAGTGCCTTTTTCGGCCTTTTTTTTCAAAAAAATGCCCGCGGCACAGAAAATTTATCCCGAACAGGGTCTTTCTGGTGTTTTAGGAGAGCTCGGAAAATCAATTCGGTCGACCTAAAAAAAGGGCGTTGAATTTTCAAAACTTTTTTTGAAAATCCGCCCCCTTGAGAAAATCCTAGATCCGCCTCTGGGACCAATTCAACTGGTTTCTCCTTTTTGTTCCGACTTTCGTAACTAAAGTAACGAATTATTTGTGCTCGGGTGTTTTTTTCTTCAGACAACTTTTGATTTTTTAACTAGCCATTTTTAACGGAATTTTTTTTATATCGGTATTCTTGTCCGGAAAGGTATTCTTGTCCGGAGCCTGAATTTGAAAAAATATTTCCCCTGTGATCAAATTTTGTAAAATTTTGGGGGTTCAAAAATTGTCATTTTGGCCGATTTCGGACAATTAGCGCGTGATATACTTGATTTGATGAAGGAAGCTTATTTGCCATAATTGATTTGTTACTAGGAGCAAAACCTATCACTTTGTACTTTTTATGGCGTGCTGGAGGATGATTCTCATAAAATTCTCAAATTAAAAGAAATGTTCATTTTATTTTGTTACATTTAGTTTTTTCATGTTATTACTGCTCCATAGACCTCAAAAGGCAGTTGGAACATTTAAGTTTTCGCCTTGATACGAGCAGTCTTGTTGGTATTGTGTCCTTTTATAGCCAAGCTTCGTATAATAGGCGATCTTCATTTTCATTT